TGACATCCTCGCCTGAAGGTGAGCTGTGATTGGCTTTCCTTGAAACTTCATCCTACAGTCACAAAATAATAAAAATAAATTATCTCAAGAACTGAGAGAGAGAGAGAGAGAGAGAGAGAGAGAATGTTCCTTAGTCATTATAATGCGGTTTCTTCTTATGAAAATATTACGATCTAGTGAACTGTATGACCCATTAGTGCCCACCTCTTCCTCGCTTCCCTCGCTATCTTCTTTCCCATTTCCGTCGTTAACTCCGTTCCTCTCTTCCTAATATCCTCAAGAATCTTGGTATATACAGTATGTATTCATGATCATACGCAATATTTACAACGATACACACACACACACACACACACACACACACACACACACACACACACACACAGAGACACACACACACACACACACACATACACACACACACACACACACACACACACATACACACACACACACACACACACACAGACACACACACACACACACACATACACACACACACACAGACACAGACACAGACACACACACACACACACACACACACACACACACACACACACACACACACACACACACACACACACACACACACACACACACACACTCTAATAGCAATAAAATTAGCCCAATCAACACAATATCAAGGTGTAGTAGATTAATAAGCAAGGAGATTCGGCTGTATGAACATGAATTAAAGGAGTAACGAAGCTCATCATGTATAACTAAACTCCCGTCATCCTCTAAACTGTTTTGTGGAGTAACTTGAGTCAATAACCTAACCCAAGGTCATGTAACTTTACCTTAAACTTTGCTAAAAATAACTTAAATCAGCCTAACCTAACCTAACCTGAAGGGACTTTACCTTAACCTGAACTAAAATAACTTAAATCAGCGTAACTTAACCTAACCTAACTTAATCTAGCAACCTAACCTTATCCAATCTAGACCTTAAATTCAACCTAGACTAACCTAAATGAATTAAATCCTATCTAACTTAACTCACCCACATTAACCAAAAGCCTAACTGTACGATCATCAATCAAAAGGTAACGAATCAAAGAGAACAATTACTACTCGTCAGCCTTCACAGTTTAACAAAAATGAACTAGACAATTTATTAACAACAGCAACAACTGACAGGGTAAAGTCGTGCCTGAGAAAACATCCCTCAAACACGTAAAAAAAACACAAACACACACACACACAAAAAACTATCAGTCAGGTCATGAAAAAAGGTCACATGGGTGAATAAAACCCATTCATAAACTAAACTATGTGGTCACAATATCTTCCCAGTATGAAAACGGTGAATTACGAATGTCGGTCTAACATAAAAAAAAAAATCCATTAGCATAATTTTCCCGGGATCCAACAGCTGAGGCGAGTGTTGATATAATGAATATTCACACACTGTTATTACACCTGATCACTTACATAGCTTAATTATCTTATTTTACGTACCATTTTTTTAATGTTATATAAATACTTTTGACTTTATAACCACGTTTCACAACTATGACTAAAAACCACGACTCAAAACCATAGGTCAACCACGACTCACAACCATAGGTCAACCACGACTCACAACCATAACCTCGACTCAACCATAACTCAACCACGACTCACAACCACCACACAGACTTATAATAACAGATCACTGTCTGTTAAAATAGTGAACAGAAGAATAAAATTAATTTTTTAGCCAATAACAATTATTATGCTGCCTACGCGAATGGTCAGCAAGGTAGGTAGTGTTGGTGGTGGTGATGGTAGCGATAATGGTGGTGATGGTAGCGATAATGGTGGTGATGGTGATGGTAGCGATAATGGTGGTGGTGGTAGTGGTGATCAATATGATGACGATGCGATAACAGTTTCTGAGAGGTTTCTAAGTTAATGTCTTCCCTTAACTGAGGGCGTGAGAACACAACTAATTGACTCATGTAAGCTATGACACAAAAGCCGTACAGTATTCCCAAAACTTCCCACGCAAATTTGTTCTCGTAACTGGAATCGTGAAGATGAATGTCACTGGCTCACTTACTATCGATAGTTCCAGGTTCTAGATAGAGATATGGACGTCAATTTCATTCTTTGGCTGAGAATAAAAAAAAACACATCCAGCGTCATTCTTTAAATTAAAACAGCAAATTTTGAGAATCCATCATTTTGACGTGTCTTAAGTAGCCTGGTTAAATTGGTTGTCGCATTTCTAGTTAAGAGAAGAAACAAGTATATAAGATAGTTTGAGAATTGTGGTCTTGGACAATATCCGTAACTCAACTGGATTAGAACCAACGATCGTCAGTTCAGTGTCGTCGCCTGACCACTGAGCCACGCACACCCTCCAGAGAGTTGCTTAATCTCTTCAGCGAATATGACCTGACTTACATATGGGATTATCTCTCTCTCTCAAATTGGAAATGAAGTGGGGTACACAGACATATGTATACTTCGGAATGGAGTAAGTTAACCTATGTATAGATACACCAAAGTGCTATTGTGCTGGTTTACTGCTCCCGTACTGTTAACTTAGGCTGGTTTACTGCTCCCGTACTGTTAACTTAGGCTGGTTTACTGCTCCCGTACTGTTAACTTAGGCTGGTTTACTGCTCCCGTGTAGGCTGGTTTACTGCTCATCTGTTAACTAGGCTGTATACTGTTAACCCATACACCATTGTTAACTTAGGCTGGTTTACTGCTACCTCACACTGTTACTGCTTAGGCTTGGCTGGTTTACTGCTCCCGTACTGTTAACTTACTGGTAGGCTACCTCCCACTGTTGTTAGCTCCCCACTGTTAACTTTAGCTGGTTTACTGCTCCCTTACTGTTACTTACTATTTAGGCTGGTTTACTGCTGTACTGTTAACTTAGGCTGGTTTACTGCTCCCGTACTGTTGTTAACTTAGGCTGGTTTACTGCTCCCTGCACTGTTAACTTAGCTGGCTGGTTTAACTTAGGCTGGTTTTACTGCTCCTCACTGTTAACTTAGGCTGGTTTACTGCTCCCACTGTTAACCCAGAGCTGGTTTACTGCTAGGGCTGGTTTAACTAGCTGGTTTACTGCTCCCGTACTGTTAACTTAGGCTGGTTTACTGGCTCCCGTTAATTAGCTTACTTAACTTAGGCTGGTTTTACTCTCCCGTACTGTTAACTTAGGCTCACTGCTCCCGTACTGTTAACTTAGGCTGGTTTACTGCTCCCATTACTGTTAACTTAGGCTTAGTACTGTTAACTGGTTTACTGCCCCGTACTGTAACTTAGGGCTGTTAACTTAGCTTTACTGCTCCCACTGTTTACAGGTACTGCTGCTTACTGGTACTGTTAACTTAGGCTGGCTTACTCCCCTGTTAACTTACTGTTAACCCTGTTAAGGCTGGTTTACTGCTCCTACTGTTAACTTAGGCTGGTTTACCTGCACTGTTAACTTGTTTTACTGCTACCTCACTGTTAAACTTAGGTTAACTTAGGCTGGTTTACTCCGTACTGTTAACTTAGGCTACTGCCTCCACTGTTAACTTACTGCTTAACTTAGGCTGGTTTACTGCTCCCGTACTGTTAATCTTAGGCTGGTTTACTGCTCCTCACTGTTAACTTAGGCTGGTTTAGGCTGCTGCCCCGTACTGTTAACTTAGGCTGGTTTACTGCTACCCTGTTAACTTACTGTGTAACTTAGGCTGGTTTACTGCTCCTACTGCGAGACTGCTTAGGCTGGTTTAACTAACTTAACTGTTAACTTTAGGCTGGTTTACTGGTGAGGCTCCTTGTTCACTGTTAACTTAGGCTGGTTTAAACTGTTAACAGGGCTGGTTTACGTACTGTTAACTTACTGTTAACTTAGGCTGGCGTTCTTAGGCTACTACTGTTAACTTAGGCTGGTTTACTGCTGCTGTTAACTTACTGGCTTACTGCTCTGTTAAAAGCTGCTGGCTTATCTCCTGCTTCCCTGACGGCTGGCTGGAACTGTTAACTTAAGTGCTGTTAACTTAGGATATGCAGGGAGGAAAGTTAGTAGATGGGTAAGATTCTATAACACAACGCAGGGGTTATAACTCCGGAAAACATTAACAGAAATTACCGATTGTATAAAAAAAACCCAGCAACATACTTGTTCGAGTTATCGTGCTCGGACGGACGGACGCACAGACAGACAAACATTACTAAGCCCTCTCCCAGGACGACGAGAACAAAGTAAATTCTGTAATGTTATATAGTCTGGTCGTGACAATTGGCTACTACTATTGTTTTATTTGATAGCTGACTTGTGAGAGTTTATTGACATACGAGTATATAAGGTATAAGTAAATCATATTACGTATAAGACCAAAAGATTTGTGTAATACTGAAAATAATTTAACTTAGAACTGAGTAGGTGAGAGAGAGGAAGGATAGGTGTTAGTGAGTGATGGTATAGGAAGGAACGGTGGAGGAGGAAGAGGGGGGGAAGAGAGTGGAGGAAAAGGATAAGAACGTAAAACTAGTTTATTTACAACAAATTATTACATAAAGTGTCAATAGCTGAGGTAACTTAAGCATAAAACTGAGTCTTCGTTGTTGTTTACCAGCCCAGTACGCATGCGTGAGACGTGTAAATGTAAATACAGTATTCTGCACTTTATCTTTAAAATACCTACACTACAGTAAGAAGTTTGGTGAAGAAGTAGATAAATTTAAAATAAAAATAATTTAGAAAACTCAATAAATATCGTTCAAGAGTAAGAACTTCTTCGGTCGGCTTTGCTCTGCCTCAGGGGAACGAGAGCTTCTGCCCCAACTCGACAACTGCTGCAGATATTGACTATGAGGCTACTGTCACTGAATGCTGCATAGATCTGCGGCTCAACTAATTTAACACAGATAGGATAGCTTCTTATGTATTAGGATATTTAATATTAAGGTAATTAAATGATGGCGAAGGTGTGGCTATTGGGGAGGCACGTTAAAAAACTTCGGTGGTGAAGTATTAGTGGCTTAATAACATAATTGGTCTCCGTCAACAGCATGGTGAAGATGTACAGTCAAACGCTGGTGATGGTAGTGGTGGTGGTGGTGTTCGCTGTCACCCTAGCTGCTGCCCAGACCTTCCAGTACAGCCGAGGTGAGTCACACATAAACATCCAGTTACTTACTTCGTCTGCTCAAAAATGTACACTTGCCTTAATACTTCAAATCATTATACTGTGTACTCTAAGTCATGCCAGGTCGTGTAAAGTCAGAACATTTTAAGAGACTGTACGATCTTGTGTCCAAGAATGGAGTATTAGCATAATCATTTTCACTGTTTTCGTGTTCCCTCTTTCTCTCACCGCCAATCTATCTATCTCCTTTTATCTACTTTCTTATCTATCTTCTCTTCTTCTGTATCTCCCTTCCTTTTCTATCTTAGTAAATTCTCCCTTTCTTTATGCATCTCTCTCTCTTTAACTATCTATATATTTTCTCCCTCTCTATGTATCTATCTACTCCTTCCACCTACCTACTCCCTGTCTTTAACTATCTATTAACTCCCTCTCTACCTAACCCCTCTCTCTATATATATACTCCCTCTCCCTATTTATCTATCTACGCCCCCTCTCACTATCTATCTACTGATCTGTCTTATCTTCTATTTCCTCTCGCTGTGTCGCCTCTAACAAGCACTACGTCTCCCCCCAACAGGCTGGACGAACGGAAGGAAGCGATCAGATCCTAACGTGGGCGTGACGGAACTGTTAGCTGACCCACCCCGCCGCCTGTCCGCTCACTCACACCCTCACCCACCCACACACACCTCCCAAGGTCAGTAACAACCCACACTCCCTCTCCCCAGATTATATAAAAATGTCACGCTCAAAAGACTAACATTTGAATCAAAATCCAGTGTCCTCACAGAGACACAGTGGAAATTTTGTCTCTAAGGAATTCGGCAAAATAAAACTGAAAGTGGGGACTGAGAATTAGTCTTTGGCAGCATTTGAAAAAGAAAACATCCTTAGCGCATAATAATAATAATAGTGAGGTCTTAAAGAGCGGCCATTCATTGATTTTTTTCTTCCACAGAACATCGAAGAGCGACTGAGGGCCCTGGAGGCGGGACTCAACGCCGTCCTCAAAGCCAACAGCATCAATTTCCCCGGTGGCGACGAAGAATACTATGCCGAGAACTAATTCCCCGAGTCTGGGATCCCAAATAATTTTAAAATTTCAATGGAACAATGTGATATTGCCAATGTCTAATAATTATTGTCAGTATTATTATTGTAGTTATTACTTTAACGTACCTGGTATTCATTTTGTAGCCGTGAACCACAACCCAAGAATTCATTTAAGAAACTGAAGCCGTATAGTGTATGCAGAACCACTGAGCTGAAATAAGTCAATTCTTAATTGAAATCCTTAAATATGTCTCATTTTTCTCTTAATGCTCAAAAACATAAATTATTTTAAGAGGAACAGGAGTGTTGTTTCTGCTAGGTATCTCGACATGATTGGTTGCATGGTTTCAGTCGTCGAATTTTGTGCTGGTGATCTGAGTCTTAAAAACAAATTATAATGTTTTTATATATCATACAGCAGCGTCTAGTGGAAGCCTTTACTGATAACTTTATGTCTTATATGTATGTTTATTTTAACACTCCTTTGGGAGTTTCCTAATTTAAACAGATATTATATAATTTACGTAACGATAAATGTGTCTTGATCACCTTATTACTACACGTTCTCTTAACTAACTTACTGAAGGTATATTTCCCAGAATAAGACGGAAAAAGTAGGTAACAAATTTCAGCTTAATCGATGAATCCGTTATTGAGAAGTACACACACACACACACACACTCTCTCTCTCTTGTAGCATCGCAATCACATAAACGATGACAATAACCACCTCTCCCAAACCTGATAATAAATAATATGGCAGTTATAAACAAACAAATATTGGATGAAAAAAAGTGCCAGTAACCCCACCCCCCCCCCTTCCAATATATTGCTTCATCTACAACCTACCGTTTTCTTATTAACACGTCATCTTTATATTATCTAACCACAAGTATTTTTGTTTCAATAAGAATTTTTCATTTTGTTTGGTATACTTCTTCGTCTTCATTATTTCTCCCTAAATTATCACCGTTTTTTTTCTGATTATCAAACACAATTTTTTGTCTTTGGAAATCTAACTCACAATAGAAAGACAGTAACTCTGGAGGGTCGTTGTCATCCTATTCAGCTGACGATAAAGGAGAGAGAACTGTGCCGCCATGAGGGAGCAGAATTAACCCTAGATTACCCGACTTCTGGAGGTGTTCCTTTATGTGTGTCATCAGTGCAGCCTCACCCATGGCATGACGTGAAGATGAGACACCCTAGCTTATTTTACCTAAACATTAATCACCTAAACACTAACCTAACCTAGCCTAGCCTAACCTAACCTAGCCTAGCCTAACCTAACATAGCCTAACCTAGCCTAGCCTAACCTAACCTAGCTTATTTTACCTTCACATTAATCGCCTAAACGCTAACCTAACCTAACCTATCATAGCTCTCAAGAAGCGTTAGGGTAATTACTCTAAAAGTGAAATAAACTGGGGTGTCTAATCTTCACGTGATTTACAAATTTAAGAATGGAGCTATTTTGAATCTGTCCAGGAGTTAATATTCCTTTGTGTAACACTTACTCCTCTTAACACTTTAACTTCAACACTAAACCTTACTTCCCCAACACTGTAACTATCCTCCCCAACACGGTAACTTACTTCCCCAACACTGTAACTATCCTCCCCAACACGGTAACTTACTTCCCCAACACTGTAACTATCCTCCCCAACACTGTAACTTACTTCCCCAACACTGTAACTTACTCTCAACACTGCAACTTACTTCCCCAACACTGTAACTTACTTCCCCAACACCGTAACTACATATCCTCCCCCAACACTGTAACTACCCCCAACAGACTGTAACTTACTTCCCCAACACTGCAACTAACTTCCCCAACACACTGTAACCAACTTCTCCAACACTGTAGCCAACTTCCCCCAACACTGTAACTAACTTCCCTGACACTGTAACTAACTTCCCAACACAAACTGCCAACTTCTCCAACACTGTAACTTACTTCCCCAACACTGTAACTATCCTCCCCAACACGGTAACTTACTTCCCCAACACTGTAACTATCCTCCCCAACACTGTAACTTACTTCCCCAACACTGTAACTTACTTCCCCAACACTGTAACTTACTTCCCCAACACTGTAACTATCCTCCCCAACACTGTAACTTACTTCCCCAACACTGTAACTTACTTCCCCAACACTGTAACTAACTTCCCCAACACTGTAACCAACTTCTCCAACACTGTAGCCAACTTCCCCAACACTGTAACTAACTTCCCCGACACTGTAACTAACTTCCCCAACACTGTAACCAACTTCTCCAACACTGTAGCCAACTTCCCCAACACTGTAACTATCCTCCCCAACACTGTAACTTACTTCCCAACACTGTAACTTACTTCCCAACACTGTAACTAACTTCCCAACACTGTAACTTACTTCCCCAACACTGTAACTTACTTCCCCAACACTGTGTAACTTACTTCCTAGCACTGTAACTTACTTCCCAAATGTAACTAACTTCCCCAACACTGTAAATCCAACTTCTCCAACACTGTAGCCAACTTCCCCAACACTGTAAACTAACTTCCCTGACACTGTAACCAACTTCCTCAACACTGTAACCAACTTCCCCCAACACCTCGTAGCGCCAACTTCTCCAACACTGTAGCCAACTTCCCCAACAACTAACTTCCCAACACTGTAATCAACTTCCCCAACACTGTAGCCAACTTCCCCAACACTGTATCAAACTTCCCCTAACACGTAACTTACTTCCCAACACTGTGTAACTAACTTCCCCTGACTGTAACTAACTTCCCCAACACTGTAACCAACTTCCCCAACACTGTATCAAACTTCCCCAACACGGTAACTTACTTCCCCAACACTGTAACCAACTTCCCCAACACTGTATCAAACTTCCCCAACACTGTAACTAACTTCCCCAACACTGTAACCAACTTCCCCAACACTGTATCAAACTTCCCCAACACTGTAACTAACTTCCCCAACACTGTAACCAACTTCCCCAACACTGTATCAAACTTCCCCAACACGGTAACTTACTTCCCCAACACTGTATCAAACTTCCCCAACACTGTGCCAACAATAAAGGAATATAAACGGCTATGAATATTTTATCATGATTCTTCTTTCATTAAGTTAATTATCATATCTCATTAGCTTACTATGATTATTATAATTTCTAAAGGTATTATAATATAATCACTATCTGAAACATTATTGCTATGATAATACCCAGACATAAAAATAATTGACACCACCACACAAACTACCTTAAAGAGATTACTGGGTGACACTTTGTTCTTGTCACCATTGCTGATAAACATCGTCCCATAACCCTTTACTTTACACACTTATAAAACACACGGTAAATAACAACAATTGCAGGCTATATAAACTGTATGATTTAGATAACACGACGGAAATCATATACTGTATATATTCTCAAAGTAGGTGAGAAATATAGGACATACACACAGATAATGGAAGTTTTGAAATACCTAAACAAGACAGTCACTAAAGGTGATCTTTGGTCCGTCGCCAGAGTTTATGGGTTGACAAGGTATTATGACTATGACAAATGTGTAAGGAAACATTAAGGTTATCACACTCTTCCTCAATATATATGTGTGTGTGTGTATCAATTCAATAAAACCGTAACTTAGATTTCAATTCTCCCATAGAGACTTTCTCGAACTACTGAATGGAATTAACATTTCTTATGGACGGGCATATGAAAGTGAACATGGCAATGGTATTCAGTACAAATTATTTGATTCAACCTAAATAAACTAGATAGCATTATGTGTTGTATAAGCCGAGTGCTTAGAGAATCCTTTGGTGTTTGTGTTTACAGATTCCTTTACGGCAGATATACATCCAAAACTAGGGAAGGTATTCCATCATCTTCTACACATAATTACATACAGTATGTGTATCTGCCATAAGGAACTCTGTAAATACAATTAACAGAAGACTTTGTAAACAGTGTGTACAGACAGAGTCAATGATGTGTGTAGTGTACCACGATACCTAGATAACCAGCGACGTCCAGTTTAACATGGTACTGTATTGTAATTTGACAACAATCGCCAGGTCACCGTAGTACTTATGTTTTGCTCAGCACTAGAGTTGTCCAATATAATCCCTGGGTTGTAGTTTAAGTTCTGGTCACAATTTAAACATCAGAAGTGTTAAATAGTGGTTCACCATAGTTGTTAAATCATCAAACAATCTGTGTGTGCTCTTCATTTTTTGATCTATCTGACGAGGCTGGCTCAGGAAAGATCTATTATATATTCTGTTACGTCATGCCATCAGAGATCCAAGCTACACTCAACCACCCGTCTTGTAAATTTGTTTAACAGTATTATTTAGTCAACCCTCTGTACCTGTACTGTTCCAGTATATGACTCATGCAATTATATAATGTGAGATCCTTACTTATCAATAAATAATGACAAGATTTAATTTGTTTTTATATCCACTTTAGTTATAAAATATATGAGATCCTTACTTATCAATAACAACACAAAGAAATGGGTGTTTTTATATAATTTCAAGTTAAATAATATGCGCACACCCAGTTATCAATAAACTAGACCCAACAGAATGGCTGCCCCCCTCCCCCCGACTCACACCAATGCCAATAGAGTTCATCAACTGCACATCAAGAACTAAGTCCTTATCTTGGGTTGTAGTGTTCACAGGACAACTGTATGGAAGCTCTACACGTTGAGGCTGTCTCTCCTTAAACAATTTGAGGTAAAGGTATAACAGTGAGAAGTGATGTCTTATGATACCATCTAAAGTCAAATACTGAATTATGTATGACCTTGCTCTTGTGTTTAAAGTTCACTCGGACAAACTCAACGGTGATCCGTGATAAAAAAGTACAGGATATTGGTTAAGCAAAACCAGAAAATACATCCTCACCCAAGAAAATCATTATTTTTCAGGTCATAAAAGGTGGGGCAACAAATGCTGGGAAGAGAAAAAACGCATTTAGTTACGGTATACAATCTCACTATAATTTTGACTCCATTTCTTATGTTTTAACTTTACTAAACCAGTTACAGTATATGCTTTCTTAAACCTCCACTTATGGGGGCAAATTTATTATAAAATTATTTAAGCCTTTTCCCTTTGTGTTTAAGATTCAGTGAGCCAGTTAGATGGGTAATTAAATTTCCAAATTAGGGTGAAAAATGAGTGATCTAATTTGATATCCCTCTCTATGGTTAAAGGTTAACATTACAGTTGTACTGTGGTGTTTCATATGTACTCTGTCAGACTGGAAGTATGTGAGACTCTATATCCGTTAAAACACAACACATAAGTTAGACAAGCTAACATAGGGTAGATTCCATACTATTCTGCCTTGGGTCCCGGACAACATCTGGGGACCTGAAGTGTCCAAAGGATTGTCAGAGACTGCATGTATATTATGTATAATAATCAACCTTCGGTAAAATCGTATGCACTTCCAATATTTTTATGTACAAAATACTGGAACCCAAATACTACAGTAGAAGCTGGAGATCGTCAGTCATATAGTATATTGTCATTCATTCATTCTTACTGTTGCTCCCTGGATATCCATCTATCCCCTCAATCCAAATGCGCCCTTCCATCTCCATCTTAATCTTCTCGGCTCCACTTCTGAATTATAAGTCTTTTTACCAAAATTTCTCATCCGTCTCTGGCTCTCATTTGTTCACACCATGTTAGTAAACCGCTAATCTGGTCTCTGCCCAACACTACTTTCATATCTCCTTATTTTTGTATTTCTTATTGTCTGCATCTTTTCCATGCCACATACTTGTCTCAAATACACCATTCATTTTTCATTCATATTCACTTTGCACCAATAGTCCATGATTTACACCAATAAAATAATACAATATTGTTCAAGGGTTCCCCATACACAATCCCAACTTTGCCTCATTTCATATGGACCTCTCTATCTGTCTATCTCTTAAACATTTCGCAATATTGTACGCTTATTAGTTTCTTTCCTTCCGTTACTCTGATGCAATGCACCACTCCTTGTTGTACAGTATTACAGACACATTCACTCCCATTCAAGTTAACAATACATGAGCTCTGTCAGCTCTCCCTTATTTAATCTCGACACATTCACCATTAACTTTTCCCTTGTACATGGTCTTCCAAACCTCTTCAGTAATTGCTGGCATCGGCAATTACCAGATGACTCAACTCCCTTTTCCCAACCATGTATAAATCATATATTAAACTTAAACCTCTTCACTACTTTGCCTTTCACCTCTCTTAGTAACCCATTCATTAAAATAATGAACAACTATTAAAACATAATACATCCTTGATAAAGTCTTACTTTCACTGAAACCCATCAGCTCTCTCCCTGGCAAATTCTATTACATACAGTACTTAACACTCCTTATAAAATTCTGGGCAGCACTGAACAGCTTCCCATTTACCTCACACATTTTCAGCACTCTCTACATTACTTTTCTTTCTACTGTACTCTCATTTCCTTACCTTAAATCAATAAATGCCACAAGCAAATTCTTCCCTTCTCCAGTATATTTTCACTCAGGTTCTTCAACACAGGACAATGAAGGCCGTATCAGGAAAAGACCAACCGCCCGACCAGCTAGTGGTGAAAATTATAAATTTCATTAAATTTAACATTTTAATTAAAGACTAACACTTGATCCACACAGTCTCTTCCTTTCCTGATCCCACACTTTTCTTCCACTCATAAAAACACTGCTTTTGCTGTAAAACTCTAAATAAACTCTACCATATACCTTCCCTGGCACACTCCGCACACTTACTCTTATCACCTTTTTCTTAGCTCAGACTATAGTCTTTCATTTCTTTGGCATTATTTCCTCAATCATACAGAGCCTGTGCTCTTGTGTCTATCACTGCTTCACTTCCCATTATCATAATTCAATTGAATTCGAAGGTCATTTAATCAGTTCCTGATGCTTACCATGCTTCAGCTCACAGTCTGCTTCCCTTTCCTTGCTTACTATGTTACCCCATTTCCTTTGACACTACTGAATCCACCACACCCTAAACACCATAAATCCATATATCCTCTCATGTTATACAGTACAAGTTGGTTTTCTCATCCAATTCAATTTATATCACTCCTGAACAGCCTCTTCCCCACAAACTACTTCACTTCCCTGTCACTAAATCTTGCACTAAGAATCCTCCATCATCAATTTATCTCTCACATTGAAACTAACACAGCAGTTATTCAGTTCTTCCCAAAAGCTCTATCTCCTACTCAGTCTTCTTAGTCCATAGTGCACATGTACTCACGATAATCTACATTTTACACTCAACTTTTTGTCATCCAAAATACTGTGGGAGTAACCCCCCCTTACAGTCTATCACATAACTCCATATTCCTTCAAACAAGAACACTGTCACATATTTAACCCCCCTTACGATAGATAAAAACAAATATACAATGACACTTACAAATTAGAATGGTACAAAACCCAAAGCAAAAAAATAAATAGGCTTTAAAAATTAGCATGGCAAAAGATGATTATGTTTTTATACCAACAATTATGAAAATTGGAAACTATTACAGATTCTGTATTGAATTAAGAATGTTCCCCATCCTTACAGTAAGAAAGATTTGATACCTTCAAACTTGGAAATGTTTCAAGTACGTACAGTATAAAATATTAAATAAACAAAGATGTCTGTCAATGCCTTTCTTCTGTTTTTAATCATCACAACTGAGTTTCCAAAAGGCACAGCCATACCAGACATTAGATATAGCAATGGCTTGAAGTTAAATCTATATAAAGCCACAGACATTGTTCCGAATGAGTTAGAATGAAATAGGTTTAGGAAAGGCTGGAGATGAGAGCGAGTTAAGGGTCGACTTTTCCATCATGGTGAAGTATCGTGGTTGATCGCACTGTGCAGCCCGGAGCTATACACAGTGAGTGTGTGTGTGTGTTTTGAGTTCCTTTTTTTCTTTGTATACAGGTATATGCAATTATTTTTTAGTGTGTATGTATTGAGAGTTTTTTGTGGTTTATTTGTCTTTTTTTCAGGGTCTAGTGTGTATATTTTTATTTGTTCTTGTGTTTTGTGTGTGTGCATTTGTGAGGGATATAGTTTACAGATCTAACTGGTTAATATGTATTTTTTTTTCACCAAGACATTTGGCGCTCTTCTTTGTTCCATATAAGAACTTAATCTCTAAACTTGGGGTATGTTTCCCCTACAGATACACCAAGGACTTTCCAGGGGGAATGCACTGCAGTGATATAAAATAAATGCAATGAATAAACAAGAATTAACACCGTTATTCTCATTATTGTACTTCCTTCACATGTATTAAATGAGACATGTCAGTGACCCTCAAGGGGTACTTACCTTTGTAAAATGTTGAGCCAGGGGGTAGATATGCAGGGTATTCATTATTCTCTTCCTCTTTGAGTGTTGGATTCTGCTATTCTGCAGAAACCTAGGGTGGAATTTCTCACAAAAAGTCTCAGAAAAGTGACATACCCTGTAGCTGATCTTATTTAGGTCTGAGAGATATAATTACAGGCAGTATGAATCTGCTTGGAGAAAATTTCAGGACCTCATGTGTCAGATAAGCCAAAACTGCATTGGCTTTACTATTGTCAAGTTTTCTTATATGGATATTTTGTTAGAATACATTAACTCTTAAACTAATAGCATCATAACAATGGGCTTTAGATAAATTAATGTAAAATGCTTTTAAGGCTAGTCTCTCTTCATCAGTATATAAGGACCTTTCCTAATGTATCTTTTCAAGGAAACCATAAATCTTTAAGAGTTACTTAGTCTCTGGAGTAGATTGTTTCATTCCTTGATTTTATCGATGAATACCTGTAGTTGTTAACTGGATGGCATTCAGCACAGGCGATTTCCACGTGCAAATCCTCGCTTCATTAAGGTCTCTTGAAGGTAGGTTTGTGTTCTTATGGGTAGAGTCATGACTCGAGGTGTGGTAGGCCAGATTTCCACCAGTTCTTCAGCATATTCCTGGGGGCTGTGGTGGAAGGCAGTGGCTTCCTTCCTTTTCATAATTCATTTGATTTCTTCAAATGTCAGCAGTAGAGGTGGAGTGATTAGTCGGTTTCAGAGTAATTAGTGACCAAAATGACCCTTGAAATATTTTACTGACATTTTTCAATGTTAATTACTCATCAACTATGGGTTTCCAAGGAGTGATTTAGGGTTTTTGTAATATTCTGAAAGTACATAATTAGTTCTCCACTTTTCATAACTTTAATTTCATTCACAAATAAATTTATCTTACTACGACTATTACATAAGCTTTTGCCAATTTTCCTCTGGAGCCACCAAAAGCAGCTAACTCACATTTTGCTTGTATCTTTATTCCTTACAAATTAAAACTTACTCCCCACTTTATCCACTCTTGCTTTCACCTTTTTATTACCCCATCATAGTAAAGAGTAAATAATCAATACACTTCCTTATGAGGTTCTCACTAGGAACACTTAATCACATACCTTACTCACTACACAGAACCTTTGGAGAACTTTTAACAGTTTTCCATTTATCCCATTCATTTTGATACTATGATACACTAGATAATAATTAGATGATAACAAGATTCATATTTTTCAATAATAATAATGACAATAATAATAATAATGGCAATATCAATCACGAAAATCTGCTAAGAATCATTTATTACAAGGAAATGCATATACACGTGCATACAGTATACTACGATTATATAAAAGTTACAAAACTTACATTAATATTCCTCTTCACACTCAATCCATGTGTGATTTCTTGTGCCGAAAAATATCCTTGATATTCAACCACAGAGTTTTGTTACAAACATTACATTGGTATTTCTTCTTGGTAGGATCTCCATCACTTGCACCTTCAGCCTCTTCCTCCACTTCTACTGAAGACTGAACTGCACCTTTTAAACACTGTACCATGTGAGCCAAGCGTTCAAGTGTGGTGACTTGGAACTCTTGGTCACAATATGGACACACAGTATCATAGGTGGTGATAGTTGTGACCATACACTCAGTATCAAGCAGACAATTATAGGTCAGAAATTCTGTCAAGTCAACACCACCTTTTATGTCATTGGGCTGACATAATTGCTTCCCATCCTCACTGAATGGATTTCCACTCAGGATACAATCCCCTGGTCCTGGACCTGCATGAAGAACCTTGATGTCAGCAGCAAGAAGACGACGCTTTGAGTAAATCACTTCTGTTAAAAAGAAATCAACAAGCGCAACTACAAGATCTTTCTCTAATCTGTTTGCCTCTGTTATTATTCTGTCTAGATTATCAATGGTCGGTGTAGTGGCTTGTATTCTCAGGTCTAGCAAATGTTTCCATTTCAAACGAAGTTGCACTGATTGAAACACAAGGTTCTGAGCTAGCATAGCATCTGGAAACTTAAGTTCAATAAAATTATCACAAGCTATTACAGTTAAATCAGCATTAGTATCCACATTATGTGCAAAAAGAAGCAGCACTTGAGCAGCTGGCACCCTTAAAGTGTCCACAAGGTAGGGTTTATTTGTCTCTAACAAGGATACATAAACTAGGAGCTGATGCTTGGTGCTGGCAGGATGTCTGGTTGTAAACCCTGGCAGCTCTACTATGTCAGAGTCCACAACTTGTAGCACTTCTGGATGACTTGCAAACACACTATTTGGGTGAAGAACTGTAAAGGGCTTTGACGATGTGTGGAAGAGCTGCTCTGAGCCAGCTTTGTAATTGTTATGATCATCTCCTATTGCCACATTAGGGTACAGCCCACTACATAGAATGATCTTCAGCATTATCATATCTTTGTAAGATCGCACAGTGGAACTTCTAAATATTTCTTGCAGCTGTTTCTGATCATTTTTTATCCTGAAATCAACATCTTTAATATCAGTTCGACTCTCCTCTTCATCACTAGGGATACTCTCCCCTTGAGAAACCTTTAGCACCTTAGTTTTTCGAGGTCCATCCTTATGTAGCTCTCTCTTCAGTTCACGAAGCTGACGTAACTGACCACTTCTCTGAGCACGCTCAGCACTTGTCAAATGTGCACGAGAGCATCCTGCTATATCTTGAAGTCCTGAGTCGTGTAATAGTTGAGCAAACTGGTGGCGCAGTTTGGTCATCTCATAGAAGCGTTGCTCCTCTAATCCACGTCTCCTACACCACTTGCGAGAATTTTCATGCCCCTCTTGCTTGACACACAACCATTCCCTGTAAATGAATTAAAAATAAAAAGGTGTACTTTATATGAAAATTATTACTTCATTATACTGCTCGCCGTTGCATTATGCGCGGGGTCGTGACGGACATAAACTAGATGAAATACAGGGTATTAATAAAAAATTAAACTGAGAATTTACCAAACTAGTCTATAGGCCTCCCTTTTCTCTTGATACAATCCTGCAGGCATGAAAGAACTGACTCTGCCAAGTTGTGGATTATTTGTTGGTCTAAATTATTCCACTCCTCACGAATGGCTGCCTCCAGCTTGAGGACGGTACTTGTGTCCTTGCCTTGTAAACGATGCTTGATGATGCTCCACATATTTTCTACCGGATTAAGGTCAGGCGAATTGCTTGGCCAATCACTTATGAAGTCTACCTGACAGTCAATAAGCCACTATATTACAGATTTTGCTGTGTGACAAGGGGTACCATCCTGCATAAACACATAAGCACGGCATTTTTCAAAAAACCCGGGAAAGTAATCACAAAGCAGGTCCAAGTAGTTAAATTGGTTCATCATCACATTCCTAGGTAGCACAACAGGATCACCAGTTCTAAAGTACGAGAAGCAACCCCACACCATTAGTGACTCAGGATGCTGGGAAAAATGTTCTCAGAATTTTCCAGAATATGTGCTCCTCGGAAAATGTCAATTCCAACTATTGGAGATATTACTATTTGGCATTTGTTTATAAATCTTACAGGAGTGAGGTGACAGTTTTCCTCACAAGGTATTCATTAGTAATAACTGTATTATGGAACCTGTGAGGACAGAGACAACCCACCATATCTTAAATGACGGTACACCTTAAGAATTATTGGATCTGTACAATACTTGAAAATATATATCTGAATAAAACTGTTATGGGTCAACATTCAGGTCTTGGAAAGAAAGAAAGAAAGAACAACCTGGCAAGAGATTTATTGGTAAAGGTTTATCATTATTCAGATATTGGAAGAAATATGAACAGGTGAGTGGAATGACAGAAAAAGTCTTTCTTTAGTTCTTTATGTAGTAACAAAATGTAAATATATACCTAACAAATCATTAAATTGTAAAAATAACACAGATCTCTAAGACAAACTTGGTTCATGTGGGTTACACAACATTATGTTTCTATAAGTTTTATGTAGTTATATAGAAAGATAGATACCTGTATTGTATGTGGTTTGAAAAAATCCTCTTTCAATAATTGGTAGACCCAGCCGCCAAGGTATAGAGGACAAGATGTGTAAAACACTGATTTCATCTGATCACTTTAAGCAACGTGACTACAGTCTCCTCCGATGAGACCACAATGGATTTATTGTACCTATCATATTCACGTTCAACAAGTACATTTCCTCTGTTAAAGTCACAGTACGTTTGGTCTCAACCAAGAGCATTATCAGAAGTCTCAGATATTATCATTAACTCTGTTGGAGAGTATAATCTAAGCTCTGTCTTAGGTTCCACAGCTTCTTATATCCAGAATTACTGTTGTTGATAATTTACAATAACTGGGAGATATACTTTGTGGAATAAATTTTCAAATAAGTTCATTTTCCTTCATGAACAAACTGAATCACAGGGGTCATGCCTGCTTCTGAATGAAAATACATTCAAGGTATCTTTTACCAATGTTCCACTTCAGACATATGTAACATGTTCTCTTTGGTTTTAAGTCAATTCTAGAAACATGTGCTTTCTTTGTAAGACTTATAAAATTCTTGGGCCATTTTGGTGCTTTCACACAAAAACCTCCTGATCCAGAAAAGGTCTGGTCAATCAGAGATGCAACTTGCCAAGAACAATAAAACCATTTCATTCAGGTAACAATATAAATATTTGCTACCTTTTTGCCACAAGAGGAACAAACCTCTTCTTTAGGCTAATGAGCATAATGATGCAGTTTACCAGCATGATCATCTGTTAACTGGTGAACCAGTTCTAGCTTATCTGAACTTCAAGAAACTGTTTTAGATCTACAGTTACAAATGTTGCATGCCTAATGCACTCTGATGTTGACAATCCTATTCATCCTACATCATATATCCCAAGGAAAACTGCATACCAGTTACCAGAAACTTATATAGATAAATAGGTTTTTGCTGCAGTGGAAAGTGTCTGTACTTTTGATTTCTGTGTCTATGGGGAGATCAGTTCAAGATCTACACAGACTGATGTCTTCAGACACATCTTCAAACAATGCACTTTGTCCATATGCAGATAACCTTGGAGCCATGAATTATAAGCATCCTTACACCATTTTGTAGTACAGTACTGTAATAGGGTTCCTGTCGTCAAGCTCAAGATATCTCGTACAGAGCATTTACTTTAGTAATAATAATAACAGCAGCTAGTCTTTTGTTTCTCAAAAGCACCAGTTCTTCTAAAGCATTCACTAGTGCTGGAAACACTACAAAGTCAAAGACTTGAGAAATAACAAGAAATACTTTACTACAATAAAAGATTCCACAAAGTGACAGTTCAGCTTCTATCATTCATATACCCTTCAGTTTTAATTTCATAAACCCTGTAATTTTCTATCACTGTACCCTGTTCAGGATCATAAGCCTTCAAAAAAAGAATGGTCTTTAGTTATTTCTTAAAGACCTCCACAGAAGTCAGCTGCTTCATGGATGCAAGCAAGCGATTGTACAATCTAGGTGCTGTTTTGGAAAAGGATCGGGCAGCCCAACAGCCCATTCATAATTGCATAAAAGAAAATTCTGAACACAGCCTCAAGAGGCTACTATGTTTGACTTCTGTTGCATTGAACTTTGCATGCCCTTACTGAGCAAACAGCAGCCCAATGCCCAGTCACATACGTTGATATAGTACGGTCTGTTCACCACCTGCGCCACTCTTGTTCAGCATTTCTACTATCCCTACAAAGAGAACTTATAGACGAGTCATGCCATGGAAAGTCATCTTGTACTGTAATTCTCTTTGTGACCTTTGGATAATAATGGTCTAAAATGGACACAAAGATTTCATTATGTAATTTAACCGTCTCATCAGAAGATAAAACAGAGGAGTTAACTCCGCTCAAAGTTTACGGTAATTGACTTCCTGTTCAATCAGGGTCTGGTCAGTGTTTCTATAGTTCCTGAAAGTAATTGTTTTAATATAAGAAGAGGATCTAGGGACATTAAAATCAAAAGTAACCAAAGCACGGTTAGAGACTTGTGGATCGATCAGGTCAACTGCAACATCTAATACACGATCAGAGTCAGCAGGAGACAAAACTAGGTGCTGGACACGACACATGATTGACAAAATTGTTTAGATTGGGAATTTCCAAGAGCTCATAGAAAAAGGTTTCAGAGATTAGTTGTCAACTCAATAATTAAAGAGTCACCACATCTCAACCGTTCCCTGTTCTTTCCCGAGAAAGTCTCAAGAAACAAGCCAAAACTATCCGTGAACTCCCTATTTGTATATGGGTGACCAGGACGATACACAACAGCAATTCTAATAACCTGGCGATGAAGATTTATTAATGCCTCCATAAATTTAAAGGGGGGAAAAAACAGTCAGCAATAATCAGTGTAATGTTGAGTAGGACCACAGAATAGATCAGCGCTATTCTGCCACTTGGAGCTCCTGCAGCAGGTCTGGGAACATGAACAAGAGAATGTGTCTATGAATAATGTTGATGTGATAGAATTAGATTCCAAGGCTTTTCATGCATCAGATAAGAATGACTTACAGTGCAAGCAGAAGACAATACCTGAAAAAGGATTCTATTCCTCATCAACAACTACCTGCTTTAGGAGAATTTGAATAATAACATGGCATACTGTTTTATCTGAGTCCAATGCCAAGTAAAACTCATTATCAACTGTTTATCCTTCACAGTCTGATGCATTAAAGTTAGCCCATGGTGGCCCCATTACCAATCATCCTGGTGTCCTCTGCACTTTTTGAGAATCTGAAATAGATTTTTTTCTACCCTAGGATGCTTAAACTCACAAAGGGTTATGTCATGTACACCATTGCAGTGCACAACAACAATGAAGGAAATCCTTCACAAATAAGCACCTCTAAAATCCCTTAGATTGACCTTGATAAGGAATCAGTCTTAAATCTCTACCTGTAAACCTATCTTGTAAGTCAAAATGTATTAGATTGTACAGTGCATTTTTGAGTCCTGATATGAGAAATGTGTTTGATGGAAGAAAGAAGCTGAAGAAACCAACAGGTCTCTCCTATCTCAGAGTAAAGATAAGCTTAATTACTGATCTGAAATAAGAATAAAAAAGAAGTTTACCTGTAAGAGGCCAGGAGAGTGAGGGGATCTCCATGATCAGACTCAAGGCTTTTAATGGAGGCCACACACTCAGGGTCTCTGTGAGCTCTGTTAGTGAAGGGGCTCTGCACACTCATAGCTGCTGATAGTGACAACACTGGTTCAACCTGGACAGGGGAGAGAACTGTCAATTCCATACCACACTGTCTAGTCACAGTATTAAAATATTCAAAGATTTATGGAGGGTACAAATCTGTAACAAAAGAACATGCTAAAAGTTAAAGAGGAATAAAAATTTCATTTGACAAAGTAAGATAATGAAAAAAACAAAAAAACACACACACACTAAACTATCATTTGTAACATCTGTGAAAGTGGGTACCACAGGAATGACTGTCTGTTAGAGGGTGTGGATACAGCATACTGTATACTAAGCATTTGGTACACAAGGCAGTTGCATGGCTGGAACAGTGTTGCACACTACCGCAGTCACTTCCCCCTAAATTCTAGACTTGCGTACCCATTTATAGCAGGGTGAACTGGGAGTGTCAGCAGATTGAACCACTGACTCATGGAAGAACTAACTACAGTACCAGTAAATTCAATGTGTCAGATGGCTAATAAATATTATTATTAATATAAATCTCACTGCTCAAAATATTAGAATCCTGAACTATTGTGCTTGTAAAACTTTATTATTCAAAATGATTCTGACTGTTAATACATATAATCAAAGCTACTATCATCAAGGATGTAAATTTGTATATCCCACCTGATGGAAGAGTGAGCCCATTATCAACATCTTTCCAAGACTCACATCCATGGGTAGCTGTGAGAGAAGTTTTCCAATTGTAGTCAAGCCCTCTACCTCAGTGATTGCTGCCTGGGCCTTCAGAGCATGTAAGGCATTATCTAAGCTCTCTGGTGCTGGAGGCTCAATGAATGGAAAGAGTCTGATATTGGGTAGTCCCATTGAGATCATCTGGAGAACAAGAGAATCTAGAGGCACTCGTTGTAGTTCTGGGGTACTATACTGGGAAAAGGAAGCATATTCTTGTTCTGAGTAAAGGCGAAAGCAAGTTCCTGGGCCGGTACGACCAGCTCTTCCTTTTCTTTGTTCTGCAGAAGCTTGGCTTATCCAAAACTCTTTTAATTTCCTCATCTTAGACTGTACATCATAGCTCATCTCCTTCACTTTACCAGAGTCAACAACAAATCGAACACCATCTATGGTGATTGATGTTTCAGCAATGTTTGTAGACACTATACATTTTCGAATGCCTTCTGGAGGGACATCAAAAACTTTTTCTTGTTCAGACACAGAAAGTGTACTGTGTAGAGGCAAAATAATCCACCTGTTTGTCTGCTGTGCATAAACCTTGGCTGCTTCTACAATTGTTGATATTTCACTCATACCACTCAGAAAAATCAACAAGTCCCCCCTTTCATTATCAGGATATTTGTTGTCTATCAGCTGAAGAATTCGAACATATGGTGCAGGGTTAATCTTCTCTCTCTTACTGGCCTGCTCAATTGATGGAACAGGAAAATATTGTAGCTTGATTGGGTATAATCTACCCGGCACTTGGATTACAGGAGCTTTATCCAAGAAGTAACTACGAAAGAGGTCAATGTTGATGGTGGCACTCATCAACACAATTTTAACATTTTCACGTTGCATTAAGAGACACTTCATGACCCCAAGAAGAAAGTCTGTATCAAGATGGCGTTCATGGATTTCATCCAAGATTACTACATCATACAAGCCCAAGGAAGTGTCTGCAGAAACCTGTCTGAGAAGAAGTCCTTCTGTTAGGAAAACAATCCTTGTATGTTCAGTTTTGTTTTTCTCAAACCTAATTTGATAGCCAACCTTAGAACCAAATTCATTTAGCGTTTCGTAAGCTACTCTCTTTGATAAGGATATACAGGCAATGCGTCGTGGTTGTGTACAAGCTATGTTAGAATACCCAGCTGACAGTAGGTACTGTGGCACCTGTGTAGATTTACCACAACCAGTGTCACCAGCAATAATGACCACATTGTGTTCTCCAACTGTTGAAATTATCTCGTCTTTGTATTCAGCAATAGGAAGGTTTGCTTGTGAACTCCGTAACTTCTTTAATCTTTCAAATCGTTGCTTCTGCATGAAATCCAAATAAACTACAATAATAAATTTAATTTCAACAAGCTTTTTCCTGGAAAGACGCCTCTTACCATCCTCTAAATCTTGTGGTGGTAACCTCCTCCGTAGGTCATCAGTGTCTTTAAAACTAAGGGCAAAGTTGATGTTGTATCTTTTGTCATAGTGCAAAGGTAACTGATACACTGAACTTTCTGGATTTCCTTCACTGCTTCCAGCACTGGGTCTGTTATTACACATTTCTCGAATTTTCTTCTGCTTTTGTAGTCCATGATACTTTTTAAGAAATTTCCAGAAGTCATAATATTCCTCTGTTCCCCTTTTAATGACATCGTCATCTCTGAAGAACATTTGATTAAGCTCATAGCGATGGTTCTCCCAGTCAAACATGAGCTCATCTTCTGAATCTGTATCACTTTCATCATTTAAGTTTGTGTTCTGTGATGACACAGATGGCTGTGAATATATTTCAGCGTCAAATCTTGAAAGAAATGTGGCTGACGTAGGTACTACAGACTGACTCACAATTTTTTTTGTTTCATTTACTAGTACATCCTTGAGATGATGAGATAAAGACCTTGATCTTTTTCTCACATCCTGTCTGGGTGGAGATTTTGATCCTGAAGAATCACTTGAACTTTCTCGACTCCTGTAAGTTCTCTTTTCAGTCTTGTTAGATTCCACAGTTTTCAAATGAGAAGAATACTTTGATTTATACTCAGCCTTATGCCTTGACCTTGACTCTGAACTGGAACTACTATGTGAATCCAACCTTCTTCTGGAGGAACTTTTCTCATACCTTTTTGATTTCTTTGCATGGAATTTTTTACTCTTGTGTTTTTCTTTATGTTTATGCCTCTTTGTTTTTGTATCCCGCTCAGGTGACCCTGAAGATGACCTTTCTTTTTTTGAATGACCCATGATTAAAACACTGTACAGTACCACAAGTTTACAAATATATATATATATATATTTCCACAAGTTATTTCTTAATTTTGCAATAATTCCCTTTGTTTTCAATTACTGATATTACAATTCTGTCTATATACTTATTCCTTGAACTTCCACTCCTGTCGACACATTGGACACTGTTGGTGGAGCTGCTGTGACTGTAGCCATTTCATGATACAATGGATATGGAAGCAATGGGAGCACTGACCCCACACCAGAGGGCAGTCATCACCTGGCAGTCGGCAGTCTGAGCAACATCCATCAAAAGGCATACGGCAAATTCCGCAACTGTCGTCATTTGCTACCCAGCGCCAAGTTGCTACCCCCGTCCAAGACTTGATCTTCACCTTCATGACCTGCAGGATATTAATAAATAATCAAAATGATTATTATGAATTCATTTAATCATGTGTACTGTACAGTATTTGTAAATCACATAATACATGACCACATATATGAAAATAAATAATCCAGTAAATGTACAAGTATTTGAAAAAAATAAACTATAGCACTTGGAGAGGAAATTATAACTAACTCTCTCATAAATGACAAATTTGGTATTAGGTAAAGTAGCTTCTAGGAAGTACAATACAGTACTGTATTTCAAATGTATGGTTCCTTTCTTCAATGAAGAATAAATCAATATTTTATCTTATCTCAGCAGAAGTGTAGGATAACAGCACCACCTTCTTACAAGGATTCTTTGGATGAGGAAGCAGTGAGAAGACAAGTGTGAAGTTACAAAAACAATATTAGAATGTCCATATGAAGCATGTGCTTTTCTGCTTATAATCCAGTCAGAAACTACAGCATAAGACAGCATCATATGACAAAAATTAATTGAATAAATCAACATTAAAATCATTTAATAGTTAAAGTTTTTTCTGCTAGGTTCGGTATGGTTCATTTACTTTGGATGCTGTCAAGAGATGATTTAGCCTCCTTATCTGCAACCCAATTATACACAGGTGAACTGATATTGTTCAGATAGAGGATTAAAGTACAGTACCTGTATGGTATTACTGTATATTCTTAAATTAAAACTTCATTTCTTGTCCTCAATCATAGATAAAATACAGTAATGTACAGTTGAAGACAAAATTCCCAGGATACATGGTAGTTTTTTGCATGTAAGTACCAGTTACTTGACGTTCATTAGGTGAGCTTTTTTCTAATTTATTATATCCAACATAAAATGTAATGAAAAACAGCAATATTAGATATACGGTAAACCAATTGTATATAAGACCTAGAAATAAAAGCAAGATACAGTACCTCTCCGTTAGCCGGAACAATTGGTGCAGAGCACTTCCTGGAATGAGAGAATTACGGGTAACAAGACGACTCACTCAAAGCCGGAAAAAATCCTTCATCCCCGGAATTTCCCAGAATTTTCAGGGTAACAGAAAAATGTTCTCGGAACTTCCTGAAATTGCAGAAAATGCGCCTGATTTTCATCTCTCAAACCCAGTAAAAACTCCCCCACCCCCAGAAATTTCTGGAACTTTCCGGGTTCTGGGAAAATTTTCTCGGAATTTTCCAGAAAATGTGTCCCTTGGAAAATCATTCCCAAAGCCCAGGTTTTCTGGAAAATTCTGGTTTTGGGAAAGATTTTCTGAGAAAATTTCAATTCCAGCTATCGGAGAGTTCCGGCAAAGAGGGATTCCTGCTAAGGGAGCTATTACTGCAATGCTCGGTGTTTAAGGGATTTTGTCCATAACTGTAGTAGTACATATATTAACATGAACATACATATTAATAAAGAAACCCTGTAGATAGCTTGTATGATTTTCACCCAAATTTAATACCTACTGAAAAACCTAAAATTTAAGATATTGTCCTGTAATTATAAAACAGAAGTTGTGTAAAAAAAAAAAAAATATTTACTAAAATTGAGTGAATTTGCCAAGTGATGAGTAAAATCAACCATCATACCATTAAGAAGTTACTGATAAAATAACCATGACTAATATTAGTAAGAAGGGACCACTGAGATATTGCTCAGAGGCTTGTTCCTGCTAAAATCTGATGTTCTACTTTACTGGATAATAGCTGAAAAAAATATTGAATATATATATTTTAAACTAACTTTATTCGAAATTTACCTTATAAAATTTGGTGCAGCAGCTAAATGGATGAGCCCTCACCTCCTGCCTTAAGGGTTGTTGGTTTGAACCCACGGCACAATGTCGCCATGAAACTGTAAATAAGTACCCAACTTTAAGGTTGAGGAAATAAAAGCCACCCACACTGCCTAATTACATAATAAAGGCTTGGTATACACCAGTGGGCTATATCCAAGTTTGTGGACAAATATCTTGAAATTTAAATTTGCCCTATCATTTTTATAAGCAACTTACTATCATCCAAACATCTCTGAAAAAATTAACCAATTCCATAAGCTACTCCTGGTGTTAACCGGCTCCTCCAATAACCAGTTGGACAGAAAACAAATCCATTAAGGGGCTCAACTGCCATAATGCGATACCATTTCTCTTTCCTTCTTTATCAGATATACACATAAAAAACATCAGCACATTTTGGGCAAAAAATAAACTAAATAAAAAAAATATTGACACAACAAATGATCGATAAAGCAAAACACCATATATCTCTTACTAGCTACATTTGATTTTTTATCCAAGTATTGTTATTACAGACACACTCAGAAGAGAATACATTAACTTGTGAACAATGTGTAGTATTGGTGTATTGATCATTAAGAAAATCATTTAACTAATGGGTATTATTATCGTTTCAGTCATCCAGCAGGTTAGGTTATGTTAGATTAAAATTATGTTTTCCAGTGTGCTTTGAAGGTCTTTTTATATTAGGGCACCATTCTATCTGACCTAACTTAACCTAACCTAACCTAACCTAACCTAATCTGGAGGGATATGCCCCCCTGGACCCCTGATTAGATTAAGTTAGGTTAGGTTGGTTTTTGATTATTTTCTATGGTTTTTTCCACATACTTCCATAACCCTAAAGAAAGAACGGTCCACTACAATAAATTGATTATTAATTTCAACTTCCAAATAGGTTGATGACAGAAACGATAATGTTACCGACCAATGTCTTAGATCCTGTGCACACTCTAAGCATTAAAGGGCACGTTTTAGTGAGTATCCCAAAGAAAACAAATCAATATTATGGCCGTCAATCTAAACAACAATTCCATCACATCAACCATAAAACTATATCATTTTATATAAGTTCAACGTCACTAACACAACGTCTTCACGAGTTAATTATCAATAACTACTGTACTTTGACTTACCTAAATACTTGAATTATATAAATATACAGTATATACTCGAGTTAATTTACGTATAATTGTGGTTTTTACCTTCGTCTCCTACACACAGGTGACCATAATTAAATGCCTTCAACCTGTGCTTTAATGCCTTCAACACCTGTGCTTTAATGCCTTCAACACCTGTGCTTTAACCTTGTTGTTGTTGTGTCAGCCACCCAGCCGTCCAGTGACTCCAGTCTGAAAGCTTTCAAACCCCACACCCCGAACCCCAAATCCGAACCCATTGTCTAGACTATAATGGACTCGTATATCAATGCAATCAAACCTGACATTTATGATAATTAATGTTTTGTACATTATGAATATTATTACCCATATATTAAATGATAAACAAAGAAACCAGGCCAGACCAAAATCCCACCACCGATCCCAAAACTCCAAATACCTCACCACACATAGAGTAGTGGAATCTTACTTCAAATTAAGGAGATCTAGTTATAATCATGATTTATAGAAACATAATATTTGAATTACTTAATGCTATTATAATAAAAACATACAAAACACTGTTTATTGCACATATTTGTCAGGGGAAACGAACCTCCCACACCACGAACCCGAAGTCATTTTAAGGTTCGTGGTTCTCCCTCGGATAAGTAGTTCTATTTTAATTTAACGAAACTGTATTTAAAAAAGACGCCAATATTTACGCACGTTATGACTGCAGCATACTGTAGAAGGACTGAAAAAAAGATTTCCAGAGGCGGATTGCAAACGAGGTCAAGTCAAACTCTAAGGTGTTTTTTACCATTCAGTAAAACTGAAATTAAAGACACGTGTGGGCGGATCACAACTGAGACTTAAAGGTGCTAGTTAAGGGGAACGTTCTGGCATCAGTCTTTCTTCGTGGCCGCAAGCAGTGTCCAGGTCGGTAACCAGCGCCGCCTAACAAAGCGGAGGTCAACTATCAAGGCACGCCTACCCCCGCTATATAAGACCTCACCCCGCCGTGACCCCTCTCTTTCTTCTACCTACAGCCACCAGCAAGCAACACCTCCTCCTCCTGCCTGGTGGCCCTCGCTCCTGCCGGCGACTATGGCCCCCCACAAGCTGAGTGTCCTCCTCTGAGCACCCTCACCAACCAGCTCTCTCTACTCTACGCTTGGACTCACGCTGCCACTCCCCAGCACCAAGCTGCATTGTACATCCAATACAATATGTATACAGAGAACACATTGTGAGTTTCCTTTCTCCAACCCATCCTGAGTGTGAACCTATATTTCATAACCCCACAGTACCAAAGCCAAGTTGGGTACCTTTCGGGTTAACAATTACACTAGACCATAAAAGAGCAAGAGATAGAACTCTCTATAGTGTTTGTGAACCTCATATATATTTATATAAAAATAATCAACGACCTCACCAGTCAGGAATCGAACCCAAGACATTATGCTTGTGACTAGGAAATGCTACCGACCATGCCACAAGGACACAAAAGCAAATTTCTAGACTATATTATATTTCATACAAAACCTGTTCATCGAGTAGATGGCGCCGTGAACCTCCCATTGGGGATTGCCCGTGCCACTATGTGGTGGGAGTAGCATTTTACCGGGAACTTTCAAGTTACTGTATAGTAAGGAACCATCGCTTGGCAAAATCCAAACACTTATTTCTCAGTCAAAATCGTTGTTACTTGTACTTTTATTCTGGGGGTCACTGTTGACATGTGACCACTGTCGGATGCAATACTAAATATAACTGAAGAGAATATATTCTCGTACCTAATCTAGAATAATGTTTTTGTTATTAATGAATATTAAACTAAGTCTGAGGTTAGGTAGAAATGTGGTGCGGTGTCATTTATTGACTCGTATTAGTGGATATTTTCTGAAAGGCTGGTGTTGTGTATTACTGGAAGAATGGTGGCCAGTCAGGGGAGGATTCAGAAATATCAAAAGGGGGGTCCGAGAAGTTGTGGGTGGGGCAACTTGGCGAACACAGAATTTTGATTCCATTTTGAAGCCATATGCACTTGATATAAAAAAAATTTCTGAAGTCAATAGTAATTAATTTTTACTATACAAAATCGCTCCTGTCAGTTCCTTTCCTTGTGGTTATCAGCATATACCTGGATCACGCGCACCTACAGTGATTTATTTGCATATATATATATATATATATATATATATATATATATATATATATATATATATATATATATATATATATATATATATATAATGGTTGCCCTCGTGTAGAAGCTATTGCCAACACAACAAGCACACCCTGAGTTAACGAGCTCCAGTGTCAAGGAATAGTCCGAGAAGACCGGCAACTCCACTGGCTAACCATTACTCTGGAACACGATCCGCAAATCGATTAACATCCAGGTTCTCAATTATTGCTGGGTAGACAGAGGCAAATGTCGCAAAGAAACTTGCCCATAGTTTCACCCTGCCCGGGGATCGAACCTGGGTCCACTCACTTGCGAGCGAGCATGCTGACCATTATTCCATATATATACACTTTTCTATTCACACGATCAATATGAGTGATTTGTCTTAAAACACGAAGATAGTAATCGTTGTTTTCATACTTACTTTACTCAACACAACTTTCATTCTAATAATTTCTTACATAATCCTTTTGACTGTGCCAATGATGAACGTCGGTCTGTGTCAGCATTGAACTAAACAAACAGCGAATTATATATAGGTCATGAGGTCATCGACTAGCTTGTAACTTGTATATGACTTCCTAAGTAGAATACCTTACAAAATGCTGACCTGACATACTCCAATCTTACTGCCTTGTCACCAGCCTTCATCATGTACAACTGTGAAACCGTAAACTTACTTATTGACCCCGGGACATAAATTATCCAATTGGCTACAACGCGAGCACCCAGTTGGTTGGGATAACGCTATTAACACTGTCAATGCAAGTGTGGTATATGGATGGTGGTGTAGGCACGGGAGACAGTGTGGTGTGGGCAGTGGGAGGAGCAACACCACCATGGCGGGAGTCGTTCACTGGTCACTCCTCTTGGTTGTGGTCGTGGTGTGTGTTAAAGGTTGGTCACCTGATTTTAACACTCATTTTAACTTTAGTCACCTATCTATACGTCATATAGATGATTCTGAGAAGTTAATGATACAGTAGATGGAGATAATAGCTACGTAATTTTCTGTCTTTGCCGTGTAAGAAAAAAATTAACTTCAGTGAAACTACAGCAACAAGAACTCCTTATAACTTATGAGTTTTAAGGTTAATGTAAAGAGCTCTATCTGTATAATTACAAAGTTTTCCAATGTCAAAACCTTGAATAATTTTTGCTAACATCTCGCGTTGTTTTGTAAAATCTGTATTATGTACTAGACAGTTTACAGGATTATTTTTGACATTCTTTTTTACTTTCTGATATGATGCTTTACACAGACACCCTCGAGGAAACCATACTTATGTAATGACCACTTCATCTCCGCCGAGGACATATGGTCATAGTGTGTTTCCTTTGCTTGAAGTGAAGGCGAAAGTTCTATCTCTGTAATGTTCACTTCCGTTATCATATGTTACACACGTTAGTAATGTAAATGTTGGACGTGTCAACCAGAAAGTGGGGTGATATTTATTTTTAATCTGGTCTAACTTCATAATGTTAATATGATATAAAACAAACAAGGCTTCAGGTCTCTAGCTGTACTTCACGAGGTCTTGGTGTAAATTCCCATAACTGAGATAAGGTATTTTTCTTCTTCATATTCAAAGAGGTCGCAGAATGTCATAGTTTTTCTCTAACTAGTCAAATAAACAGATACTGGTGATTGGAGGCACTACTTAATTAACTATTAGCACCCGAAAAAAAAACGAATTCAAATAAAATCTGGCATATACCTTTATACAACTGAAGTCGAATTCTAACTGGTGAAAAAAGTGGACGTCTCTTTATGACCACGACTGGTTACCACAGATGACATTATTTGGCAAACACAAAGATCAGTGTTGTTGGTGACGTCCTGGGCATGATTCGTGACGATGGGTCTTGAACTTCACTACCATAGTATAGCAAAATCGTCTTGTCTATTTTTGCTGCCATAAGTTCATATCTATTGCACACACACACACACACCTCATCTGCAAATTTGGGGAGAAGCTTCTGCACCATCCCCACCACAGGCTCCTGCTTCCACCCGAGATCCCATGTTCACGAATTGCTGTTCGACACTACAACCGCATCCAGCCCATACGACCACATAATGATCGCTATAAGAACAGTCTAATCATAACCAATGTAAAAATTATCAACAACTTGTAGTTAACCAGCGTGTTTACTCCCTGCTAATCTTACTTCTACATTGTTGAAATTCCCTGTTGAATGACCCCCCCCCCTTCCTATTGTTATTGTACTGTATATCACAATTGCGGAAAAGTGTTCCTACACCACCTATGGTAACCTGTGTCTTCAAACGGTCAACCTATATGACCTATAGCAAACCTATCCACCAATCACGTCCGTCGTTACATGACCAATACCCATTCGTTCATAAACAGTGACACTACTACTGCGACGGTGCCGTTTGGAGACACGGGTTACCTCAGGGGTGTAGGAACATATTTCTGTAACTGTACACGAATGTTACTTGTATATTTTTTGGCAATCAAGTGACCCATTTCCCAATTATGTAACTGTATATTTTAATCCCTTTGGCTGCCTTGTTCTTTCAATAAACCGTTCAATATTATTATTATTACACACAAAATCATGTGGGAAGACCAATTTTAATGAAGTTTGTCACAGAGGTTCTGTTAACAGGAATTATTACAACATGATATTAGTGGTGTAGCACAGGAGTCAACCTGGCAGAGAAGGTAAACAAAAGAAAAGGTTAACTAGTAATAACGCGCCCCGGGCAGCTCAGTTGTTATGGATTTATTGAAGCGCGGCGATGTGAGGTGACCTGAGTGTGCTGTAGGAGACCTTCACGGCAAGATAACTTATTAAGACAGCTACATAAACCCAACAGGTCGACTGTTGCAGCAGCGTGAATATTAATGACGTGTAATTGTGGTTGTCGAGCCATTCAAATATCTTATTTCTTACTTGAAATTATATTTTCCCCTTCATGAAGAACAAAAATTTACCAGTTATGCTAATTTATACAGGTTTAATATTTCATACTAATAATTATAATATATATTAATGGAAAAACTTATATCTATAGGGAAA